TTTGATCAATTAGGGATATATGCCCCTACGTGTACAAAATCCAAAATTGCTAGAGTTAAAACTACTAACTCGCACCTAAAGTCAGACTTTAAGATGAATGATCTTGGGAGAACTCGACATTACCTCAACCTGAAGTTTCGACCTAGTTTTAATGGTATTCTGGTCCACCACTCGAACTAGACCCAGAACATGTTACATCTAAGTATACCCTGATCGTCTGTATGCTAGATGCAAATGAGACCTTTACGAAGGGTATGAAGCATAAGGTTCCATATTGGAACGTGAGGCAGCCATATCTAAGTACCATTGGCGTTTGTTGTATTTAGCTCAAATGCACTAGAATCGAACATCTTATGGCATAAACATCTTATGTGCTAATAATCTTATGGCATAAAGCAGCATTGCGCCTAACACGCCACCACCCAATTTGGTGTTAAAGATGTTTTTCTGTTACTACGGATTTGGGCTTATCTATCCCTATGCATCTCAGAATATATCACACCCCCTTGGTCTTCAGAATGATGCCTACCTTGTGGGATTCGCTGAATCAAACCATTTGTCTGATAGCACAAGGTGCGTTCCTAAATGGTTATATCTTTGCCATTAAGGAACATCGCAATATTTTGGAGGCCAACCAGATAGACATTTTTGTTGCGAAACCTTTGAATCGTTCCAAGACTCACTATGTCTCATCACATGAGAGATATGGTCAAGAACTCTTGTTGAGCATATTCAAAATTCCTGCATTTTTCACCAATCGTTAAGTCCCAACAACGATCCATAAATACAACGTTGTATGTATCGACCAGATCATGATACATCCAACAAGTCAACACCAAGCGCATTGTGTCTACATCAGCATGAGCATCAGATCAAAAGATTGAAGTCAAGCAGTCCAATCCCCAGATAACCTTGTCGACATCTACATGGAGTCACTGCCGAAATCTACCATTCTAGAAGCTTGTCCAAGGAATTAGTATACGTAACTTTCTCATTTACGATGCTTATAGTTTCATTTGGAAGTTTTGTCAAACTCAAGGGGAGTATCCAGAAGTATACTCATTTAACCTTAATGTACTTTTTTCCCTAGATTATGAGCATTTTTCCCACTGAGTTTTTGCTACCTAACTAGGTTTTAACGAAACCTAACGAGGCACCCATCCTGAGCTGGTCATTCCCTTGTGAGCTCTTTTACTTGCGTCTAGAAGACGTATAGTTTCGACTTAATGTAACTATTCACTTTTCTCCTTAGCCTATGGCTTTTTCTCCCACCTTGGGTTTTTCCATAACAAGGTTTTATAAGTTTTACCACCCATGCATTCTTCCATTCATTTTGAGACTTGCATTCGCTACTTGTGTCGACTAAACAAGACGACTTCATCAATTGCTTCTACATTTGCCTGAATATCTGATGCACCATCTAATTGAGTATTTGCACACTCAAGGGGGAGTGTTGTGACATATGTTCTTATCAATATGTGATTGTGTAAATCCTAAGTAGAGATAGAATAGGAATCCTTTGGGATCTAGAAGATCTTTCCTAATATACTTTGTATTACTTGGAGAGCAAGTTTCTCTCCTCCTGATTACTATAAATAAAGGCACAATGACTGGGGAATGAACACACAATTCCTCAAGTCTATTCTCCATCTTTCTCTCTTCCCTTTTCCGCACCTCTCTATTAAATATAGGCTACAACATAAAAAGAATAAATTTTATAAAAAAACTTCATAATTGAAACCTTCTTAAACTATCGTACTTTAAAAAAAATATCATACAATTCAGAAATCATTTATGTATTCAAATATACTGAACAAAATCGAGGAGTTGAGTACCAAATATCATATACATAATTCATCTATTTATATTAGGAGTGCAACTCGGGCGGGGTTGGGTGGGTTGGAAGGTCAACCCAATCTTAACCCAACTTTTACAATTCGGGCTTGGGATCATGTCACAGCCCGCCCCGAGATTTTCATATCGGGAGCGTGAAATGACGAAAGTACCCTTAGCGGGTACTAAGGTATGTGTGTGAGACATATATTTTTGGTCTAAATACATACATTCCTAAGTTTTGGAAATGAACTAAGTTTGATTTAATAAAGTGATATGTATGTTTGGGTGGCTAGGGATGTGAGTTGGACTTGTTATTTTTGGATGGATCACACCCACACACACGGGACACTTCTCATTCCTTCCCCCGTGTCTTTTCTCTCTTCCATCACGACTCTCTCTCACTCTCTCACCCTCGAACTGTACGGACAAGACCAAAACCCTTCAAAACTTCGTGGATCGAAGTGGAGATTAGCACCATCGTGTTCGTGAGTGTCCTACGAACTCAAAGATACCATTTTCAGGTAAGAAATCCTTCGTTTTCACGTTGAAAACTCGAGGACCGAATGTGTCACTATTCATGAACCTTGTGTTGGTTGATTTTTAGGACAATCCAACCTCACAGTGAGCTTTGTGAGGTTCTAAGGAAGCTCGGGGACGTTCGTTTGGAAGTTTTGGACGTCAGGATCACCACGTTCAAAGTTGGCCGGTTTTCGTGGGATTTCTCCGGTGAGATTTCGTGATTTTTAGAGCCTTAAAGTAGTATAGCATGAAACTACATGTTTAGGGCTTCATTTTGATATAAAATTCAAAGAAAACAGTTGAGAAACGAAGGAGAACAAGCAATTACAAAATTCACCGGAATCCGGCCACCAGAAAAACCAGTCCGGCGACTGGCTGAGGAAGAAGACGCGCGTGGGGGCGCGTAGGTCCGTGCCACCCACGGCGCGTGGGGGTGCATGACAAGCCCAAAATTTTTTCTAAAAATTCCTCAACGTCCGTGACGTCGAGTAGGTCGTTGTGGTATATTCATATACCCAAATTGAGCACCGTATGAGAAGTTATTTCGAATTGTTGGTTATGTGTTTTAATTAAAGTTTTTATAGTTGTTTCGCATATAGATGACACCTATCCCGAGGACGAGCGCATCCAGGGACGTCACGGGGGTTACGACCCATCGACTTACCAGTGAGTGGGCAGTTTTGTTTTCGTATTACCTATATACTACTGTTTTTCCCAGAAAATGCATTTATATGAAAATATGTTTTAAAATGCCATACATGCAATTGATGAGATATTTGAATTGATAATTGATGCATATATATATGAATTGACGTTGTGGACTTGCATTGAAAGCTCATAACCTGCACCCTAGGTGTTAGTGCTTATATTATTCACCACACCGCACGCTTTCCTTGGATCCAAGTAGGTGAATGCCGTACAGACCATTTGAGGGTTCCGACATGCTAGTCGTATAGATCGCTAGATGTGATTCCGACTAGTGGGTGGCCTTAGTTATGCGCGCCGATGATTGATGAGATAAGCACTAGAGCGTATTCTTACACCTTTCATTGTACAGACTACCTTACGTAGTTCCGAGTGACGTGCAGAGTTGGGCCGTATAGGTCACTGTGGTGACTCCGGCTAAGTGGGATATTGAGCTATAGAATCAGCCGTACAGGACCACTGTAGGGTCTCCGGTTGATTTATTATTTCACCTGATTTATATCGATGCATTCATATTATATTTTGGCGTGGCGTGGCATGGCATATTCTTTCTGAAAAGCGTTGAAAGATTGTGAGCTAAGTTTGATGATATATGTATATATGTTTTATAATAAATTTCTGGGAAAGTATACAGGTTTTACGGTGAGGGGTTAGAAACGTTTTAAATGAAATGTTTTGGAAAATCTTTGGTTTTACTGACCCACTCATCTTTGTTTTGCGCCCCTCCAGGTTCTAGTTAGCAGTTGGTGGCTCACGAGGTCTTTTTCGGCGTTCTGACAGACGTTCTGCATGTAGGACTCACCTGCGGGTGTTGCACTTTTAATTATAGTCCTACTTGACTGCACTTGATACCTACGCTCTGAATTCGTGTGTTTTACTTTATAACTCACTCCTTTATGCTAGTAGGTTATTACTGCTAGTGGTTGTTTTAAATTCCTTCATATTTCTATTATATCTTGCTTTCGTGTCGCACTTTTGGCTACGTCACGCTCACGTGACGGCCAGCACGCCTTGATTCTAGGATCGGGGTGTGTCAGATCAGGTTGGGTTTCATTCGGGTTCATTTAGGTTTGGGTTTTATTGGGTTAGGGTTTACTTGGCTTGGGTTTGGGTTGCCCAATTTTGTCAAGTTTAATCTTGTAACAACTTAGTTTTCAAGAATTCCTAAAAAAATTAAGCCAAGCATCAGCAAAGCTAGCTTACTCTAATTTCATAAATCAATCTACTATAAAGTTTTAGGATTTAGAGATTACGAATATGGGCTGACTAATCAAAGTCTCTTATTCCCTAAAAGCTTAAGTAATTATAAAGGGTAATTATTAAAAAAATATTAGAAAGAGCGTTGGTTTTTAGACTTGGCACACTTAGATGTAGTATGAGCATTAATTGATATGGGTTACAATCATGTTAGATTGAGTTTGGTTAGTCGGGTTAGGTTGGGTTGGGGATGGACGGACAAATAATCAAACCAACTCAACCTAATCAATGAACGAGTTGAAATTGGGTTGGGTTCGGGGTTTATAACTAAAAAAACCACACTTGTTCAGGTTTAAAGTCGGGATGGACATGAACGGGTTCGAATTGGCCCAACCCAAGTTGCATCCGTAATTTATATAAATACATTTTGATGTTTGAACTTCCTCGAAAAAAATAAAAAATTAAATGTTTTCGAATTTATACAATAAAAAGACAAGATATTTGTATTTTTATAAAGAGATACAAGTATTATTATATTAGAAAAGTATTATTGGCACTCTAAAAATCACATTCTACACTCCTCACAAGTGTATTTTTCTTTCTCAATATAAAAAATTTGAAGTATAGAATGAGATTTTTGAAGTGGTAATAACAATTGCATCCTTATTTTAATGGTAATTAACGTGGTTTTCCAATTGCACATAACTTGTATTGGGAAGAATGACTTGGTTTAGGAACCAGCGAATATCCTTTCATTCGTTTTTGTCTCTCTCTTCCCTCTCTCTCCAACACCATAAAATAGCAGAGGAGAGAGAAGAAAGAAGAGAAAAGGGGCTCCTTGATTTTCATCCTCTCTAACTTTTCCCGAGAAAAATTGCAGAAAGAGAAAGAGGAAAGGGAAATTTAGAGAGAGAGATGGAGAAGAGAGACGACAATGGGGTGGACGTGAAGGTGGTTGGCCGGGTAGTGGGACCCAATAATATTAAGTTCCCGTTGAGCTTCTGGGAGGTGGCTCTGGCTTCCACCGTCGTATTGGGCTTCTTGTTTGGCCTTCTGGGTGTTTACCTGACCATGCCCGCATCGGATTACAGCTTCCTCAAGCTTCCCCGTAGCCTCCAAGAGCTTCAAATCCTCAGGTACTTTTTTGAATAAAATTTCTTGTAAATTTCCCATGAATCTGAATTGGGTTTTTAGGATTGAATTTTCCAGGAAAGGCCACGAATTTTAATGGGAAAATTTGTGGGTTTCTAATGCATGTGATATCAATCTGGGATTATTATGTTAGTTTTTAGTTAATTATGGATTTTTATCTCTTAATCCAATTAATTGCAAACTAATTAGGAAAAAATCATGTCTCAAAATTTATTTTTTAGGAAGAGACCTGATTTTTGCATGGATCCATATTCTTGAAGCATTTTATTTTCGCAAATCGTTTTCTAGGAGTTGAAATTAATGAACAGAATATTGCTTTCTCTTTATCTGCATTGGCCTTTTCTTTTCTTTTCTTGAACGTTATGCACCAGGTATTCGTCTAAGCGGGCTTTTGATTCGGGCTTTTGATTTGTGTTCTGAGGAATTTGATATAACCGTGTGCAACTGTTACATTAGTTATTTTTGTTTTTCATTGGTTATGGTATCAATGAAGGATACGGGGTACTGCATTAGTGTGACCTTAAGGGTTTGTGTAAGGTAGGAGAGAAGAGATTAATGCTGAACATGGAATGTTGCATTATTGTGACCTTAAACTTTTAAGTTTGATGACTCTTTTACTCACATTTTGTGAAACGTTTTAAATTTCCTTGTCGGAAAAGGTTATGAAATCGGTTGAGTGTAGCTGTGTACTCCCCTAGTTGATGACTGATGTTCCAACTGCATGTGCTCCATTTACAGATAAATTGTGGAATATGATTTTAATGGTACTATGCGGTTCTATTTATTTTGTTTTCTGTCATTGTCTTCTTCTGGTTAGAGTTCACCTCGAGGACTACACAAGTGACTACACCGCGCAGGTTCTGTTAGGGTACTGCATGGTTTATATTTTCATGCAGACTTTCATGATCCCTGGTACCGTATTTATGTCCCTGCTTGCCGGTTCCCTTTTTGGAGTCTTCAAAGGTGTAGCCTTGGTGGTGTTTAACGCCACTGCTGGTGCATCTTCTTGTTATTTCTTGTCGAAGCTGATCGGGAGGCCCATTGTCATCTCTCTTTGGCCTGACAAGCTGCAATTTTTCCAAAACCAGGTATATGCAAATGTTTTCATATCTCCCATTGATACTTAACTTTCAAAATATGAGTGAATCATTTATTGTTCTGCTTCCAGGTAGCTAAAAGAAGGCAGGGACTATTGAACTATATGTTGTTTCTACGATTAACTCCGACCTTGCCAAATACATTTATTAATCTTGCTTCACCAATAGTTGATGTGCCTTACCATATTTTCTTACTGGCAACTTCAATTGGTCTGATACCAGCTGCTTACGTCACTGTCAGGGTATGTATCCTGCACTTCAAAAAGTTGGTTAAATATTGAAGTTTAGTTGTTGTCTAAGAACGTCAGACGTCTATGCAACACCTGAAGGGTTCTATGGCCAAATGATCCAAAATAAAAATCAATATCTTTTTTTCCCTTTTTGTCATAGAGGAAGATAAATACAATATACCATCCTCTCGACGCCATCTCAATCCACATTTTGACTACTGCAGAAAAATATATAATTATCTGCGTTGTTTCGTCTACGTATGCTCTACTCGATTGTCACTGGTTGTGCCTCTGTAATTGACTCTGTTTTCGTGCTGCAGGCTGGATTAGCTCTTGGAGAGTTACGATCCCTTGGGGATCTCTATGACTTCAACTCGATAGCCACCTTGTTCTTCATTGGAGTTGTCTCAATTACTCCCACGCTAGTGAGCAAGAACAAAGCATAGTATTTCACTTACTGAACTTTGCTTGGTGTACATGAGGACCTTGTTCTGCTTGCAGCCGTTTGGGTACCTATGTCCGCCGTTGGATATAACTGCCTCGTTATGTAGAAGGCGTGTCTGTGTCCTTGGATGGAATTTGTTGACTGTCATGTTTCATTCGGGCTGTGGGTTTGGGGTTAAATGTGTATGTAACTTCGATTTCAGCGGTAAGATTTTATAGGGTATGTGCATCATCATCAAGAAAAATGTAAAGGCATTCTCTAGTCAATTTCTGACTAGTCGCAGCTCTAGTGTTGAATAATGAAAGTACCAAGATGATATTAGTATTGTTTTTCATACACGTAACGACTAAGACGTGGGGATGAGGTTGACGTAACTGTCTTTCGGCAATGTTTACAATTTTGACATAGTGTTTGTCGATGCGGGCTGCCTGGTATAACCAAGGAAAGGCAGCAATTGCTTCATAAAAAAGCACTGGTCCTTAAGATGCTTAGCGGGTGAGCAGGAACATTTGTTCTCACGATTCCATCTCAAATTTGGCTTAATCATTGAGTAAAAGTATGAAGTTGGCAAAGGCATTAAAGCATCTAAGATTGCTTGGCATGGAAGCTCAGAATTGTAGAGGAAAAGCATTAGTTTCTTGGTCGGGTTGGTCTTCAATCTGTGCCCAACCCAATAGGCTCATATTACAATCGACTCATCGCCGCCCAAGAAAATGGCAAACCAACTCACCCAAACTACTCTTGGGCTTTTTCGGTTTCTTTCATATTCTTAATGTGAATACAAAGAGAGGTGGCTTTCCCATTCATTTTAGCTTCACATGCCCCTCTTGATTTCAAATCAATTAAAAACAAAGATCAAATTAAACAGGAGCGTGTGGGAGAGTAAAAATGGTGTGTGTTTATCATTCTCGGGAATGACGTTTGATGAGTCGATTTTATACTATATATTATTCCCTATTCTTGGTATATTTTGGTTATTATTTTGGTGAGATTTTGATGTTTTGCTATATGTTTTTATTTTAGGACATGCGAACTTGTTTTGAGCATAAAGTAATCAAACGGTGGAATTTTTGAGTGATTCCAATTGGAGTGGGTTCGTGAGTCTGTCAGGAAGATAGTGTCAAAATTTCATAATTTTATCTCGAAGCATTAGATCATGGCGAATTAATTTATGCCCATGGTATAGTGCTAGCAGATTGGGCTGCAGAGCTTATTTGCTACTTTTGGGTTGGAAGATGATGGATTTTGGACTTGGGTTCTTGGAACTTGAAGAGGAGGTCCTAATCTTTAATTCTAGCCGTTTTGGGCCTGTTTTAAAACCTTGAAGATCCAGAAACGTGGCTTTTTTTTTTAGGCAGATTTCCTAGTTATCGTTTTGTTATTTTATTTCCTAGTTTTTAGAAAACCTTTTCTATGAGGGTTTTAATTTGGAGTAGTATAAATAAGGCTTTTTAGCCATTAGGTTTAGGGGCGAGAAGGCATGCAGTATTTTGGAGAACTTCAGATTTTTTACCTACAAGGTGTTTTCAATCCTTTTTCTAGTTAATATATTTTCTTTAGTTTTTATAGTTGTTCGTAACTAATTTCCGTTTGCTAGGGCGATGCCTTGAGTCTTAGCATGAATATATGATTTTATTAATTTGCTTATAAATGGATGCATGTTTGCTTTGAATTATTAACCACCGTGATTAAAACTATATAATTGTCTTAGTGATTCGAGACCATTAGGATTTTTAGACAAGTAGTTTGATGCAATTTATGTTGGAACATCACCCTGAAAATTGAGGAGAGTTTCTTGTGATTAGTAATTGTAAGTTCACTTAAGGCAAACATCACGCTCTTAAGGGTTGCATGATTTTTCAAAAGGTTTTTACAAAGCTTAATAAGTCTTGCATGTTTATATTTGATCTGAACATCACAGACAGGTTGCATGTTAGATATACGTTTTCGCTTGAACATCACAAGGAAAATATACATTAGGAAAACCTAACCTTCAAAGTATGTATGTAGAAATTCATAAGTAATTGGTAAAATTGCAAAGGATTGTTATGGTGATGACGAAACCCTAGGCTTTTACAAATTGATTTTCTTTTAAATTGTCCTCTAGTTAATTTCTTTAATTGTTAAATTCTAAAATCAACATTTTCCAATCTTTGTTTTAAATAATTAATTAAGAATTAGTTTAAATACAAATTATTCATTCAATCCCTGTGAAAAACGACCTTGCTTGAGCCACTATACTACGACAACCTTGTATTCTTACAAATATTTTTAAGTGTTTTTATCCCTACTTTTGTAAGTGGTAAAAATCCTATCAACGTTCTTTGTCAGCCCTAATCTTCCAATCTATCCGTTAACACGGATTTTAATCCACGTCTCTATCAAAAGATTGGGAACCAGTACAAGGAAAATAAAATGGGAAAATTGTAAGGAAAACCATATCACCAATTTGAAAATTTATAGCTTGTACAACAAATAAAAATTTGGAAAACGTGCACATTTTGTAATATTCGTGTATTCCTACCTATATTTCTTGAATTTCTTTTTCTGCTGGGAGCTATCTGGAGTCCGGCTATCAAGCTTACGCTTTGTACCTGTTTGTTTTGAAGCAGCGCCACCTTTATGTGCTTCTTTAGCCTTTCTCGCAGCAACGGATGGTCGTTTATCTTTACGTTCTTTCGGCTTCATTCCACTTGGTGATTTTGATTCAAACTTATCTGGTCTACTGCCTTTTGCATTGAACTTCTTTTGGACACCAGGCTTACCTGCACGCAGGCCCTGGTAAGATGCCTTTGAACTCGACTTGTTAAAATCTGGACTCCTCGAGTCCACAGCTCGCTTTTTGGCTGAAGAATTAGCTTCCGATGCTGATGAGGGTTTCTTTCTCTTAGTTGGGGTGGACTCTGGTTTTGCATGAGACAGCCTGAGCTCCCGATCCCCAAGCTTCAAGTTTCGCTTCTTAACGACCAAATTTGCAGTTTCCTGGATGCCCAAATTGACAGACAACACATAATGTACCGTCTCAGATGATACAAATTGAAAACAGGTGTACCTTGAGAAACTACAGCATGTACAAATTTAACTACAGAGTTTCACATCATGATGGCACTCATGGCAAACAAAGTAATTTATTTAGTTTAGTCAACCATGCACGTATTCAATTCCAAATACGCTAATTTTGAAATGAAATATTCATGCTACAAGAAGGTTCGGGATAAAATATTATCTTACACTTACAGAAACTACTCCATCAATCATTTCTTATTTCTATCCTCAGTCCAACTTTAAGATAAATACAAATAAAGATAATGGCAGGAAACACCTTAGCATCCCAATATGCATATTTAAAGAATTGATTGTAGTCATTCTTTTCCTAAATTAACGTCATTATATGCTTACCGCCAAACTGCCATAGTAACAAATTTATATTTTTAGGGTTGAAAAGACAAATGTTTCACATATGTTCCAGGAGACAACCGGGGGTCCTATTGACATCCCCATGAGGACTATCATTAAAAAGGTAGAGCACGGCATCCAAGAAGAAAATGAATAGAATCAACCAAACAACCACATATCTGAGTTCAAAATGCATGACATTGTAACAAAGAATTATTGATGGTAAATGGGGTTTGATAAACTGTTGGTGAAAATCACATACCCTTGTTCTAAACAAAACATAAGCAATGCCCTTTCCGATACCATAATTAGGATCCCTGATTATGCGAATAGCTTCAACGCCGGATCCAAGATTGTTGATACCACAAAACAACTGATAAACTTCTTCATCCTGCAAAAGAAAAGAAATTGTTGTCCACATATTGCAACTAAAAGTATGCAACAAAAAAAGCAAATTGGGAGGTGGACAGTTCCAAAAAGAAGCAGAAAACAAATCCTAGAGGAGCAATTCACCTTTACATCAAATGGAAGGTTACCCACAAAAACTGTTCTCGTGTGATCATAAACAGTAGCACTCTCCCCTTTCAGCTTCTTACGAGGTGGGCAAGCCCTGTCAACACGGATATGATGTCCTTCAACCTACATCAACATGCATAACAAGTCAAGGTAAAGATTAACAACTTAAGCTTTATTGTAAGAAAGAGCATGTGCAGAATGATACTAATCACCCAACTTCATGCAAATAACATACCACAGCCATGTTATGGGACAAAGAAGCCTGTGCCGATTCCTCGGTTTTGAAAACAATGTAGGCATTAACGCTGCAACACAAAATCTGTTAATTCAAAGGCAATCGTAAATCGCTTAAAATTTGAAATTTTCATGTCAACAAGTATCAAAGGTCTAAAATCTACATCATTTTACGTACTTTTAACAACTTAAAGTCACACCAAATTAAATCACTAACAAATTGGTGACTGAGGGAGCCAACCTTCCAATGTAAAGCCTTATTTGAGCTACGATAGATTCCAATAGCACACCTAGAAACCTATAGCCCCAACCCACAATCTAATTGTAAATTGGAATCAGGGCCTTAGGTGCTTCAAAAACGCTTATAAATGCAATAAGCAGTTCCTAAACCAACTGATTTAAGTAATGCGAAATGATTACCTGTCAGCTTTATCATGGATTTGTTTTGTGAGTATTGCTCCCTTTCTGGGCCTTTTGGTCTGAACAAAAAGAACCAAATATACAAAATCAGTAACCAACAATACATTTATATCCACAGTTTGCAAACAAGAAGTCATGAAACTCACATCCAAGATTGGCACGGATCGAATCCTCACAGACTGCACCTCTCCAAATTTAATGAACTCCTTCATCAAAGCTTTTTTCTTGACCTTCAAGGGCAAATTCCCAACAAAAACAGTCCTCAAGAGCTTACTCTCGTCGTCGAAACCTTCGTTGGAAACCAGCATATCAGCTGGATTATCAACTGTCTTCCTCTTCTCCCCAACAGTCCTCTTCTCCTTGTCCCCATCCTCCTCGCCCTCCTTCACGCCGTACTTCTTCACCTCATATTCCCTCTCAACTTCATCCCTTTTCCTCTTCCTCCCATCCTTCTTCTTCGCCACCGCATTCGTCGTCTCTGAGGGTTCATCATTTTCCTGTCTTGGCACCCCTTCTAACTCAGAGCCCAAATTAGGGTTTTCAGAATTGAGCGTTTCCGGCAGTTTATTTTTCTTTGGTTTTTCGCCCTCCAACTCCACATGACTCTGTGGAGCTTCTTCGTTAATCAAACCGGAAGCCGCCTTTTCTTTGTTCTTCCGCTTCCGTTTCTGCACCTCGCCGTCCCCGTCATCGCCATTGTTCTCAGACTCGCCATTATTGGTGTTCTCAGCAGGTTGAGCCGAAGGGGCAACAAACCCAAACCCGGATTCCTGGCTCTTTCTCCTGAAGGGGTTGCTCTCGGAGAAGATGGCAGGGGCGGCGTCGTGGCTGGCGGCCTCGCCGAATAGGGTCATGAAGACGTCGGACTGAGCTGCTGAAACGGCGTCGGTTTCTGGGTCCTTGGGTTTCTTCCTACCCATTGTATTTGGTTTGAAGGAAGTGGGGAAATCAATCAGGACGCAGAGAGAAAGCGCAAGTTCTTTAACTTCAAAGCGTTGCAGGCAGAAAAGGGAAGGTGGGTTTCGAAACCCTAGAGCCCTCTATTTTTCAATCAGGAGGAGGGAGTATTTGAAAGTGGTTGCAAAAGTGGGCCGGATCAAGTTAAATTTCATAAATTTGGTGGGCTGAGAGATCAAATGGGCCCAAAGATAAAACTGCATACATAAGTAGGCGCATTTTCACGAGAGATTTTCCGTTGTATCTAAAACACAGTCATGCGTTAATAAAACCTATATGTGAGAAATATCAACCTTGTCTTCCTCTCATATAGTAAGATATGAAAAAATACACCACATGGCAAGTGATTTTCATGTTCATACCTTTCACTCAATATGTGTCGCGTGGACTCCACTATCACTTAGAATTAAAATATTTAATGTGTTTAATAAAGAGAATGCTTTTCCATTTTCATTTGAAGTAGATTTTTAAGTGAATTGTCATCTCAATTTTCTAGCATTCTTAATTTGTCATCTTCAAACTTTTCATCCAAAATAACGTATTTGTCTTGCACGGAACTTGTATTCAGAGCTATTTTAGACTTTTCATATAATTATGAAGAAAATTAGTTGAAACTTTAGACCTTTTGTTAATGTCTACGCGACGCCACCTTGTCGTGCTATTGCCTTTAGGTTGTTCTTATTTCTTAAAGACCTCTATCGCTTTTCTTCAAAACGAGAGGAGTGAAAGAAACGACTGATTGACTTTATCTCTTTTGATTTCCCAACAACTAATTAACTGCTTGATCTAATGACCACTTGAGTAAGTGTTGCCTAAAAGTTTATTTTTTGAATGAAGTTGCTTTGAACAAAATTGATACCAACGCTTTGTGCATAGTGTCGATAATTTGTTTTCTTTGGAATACAAGCGATATTACAGTTCTAATTTAGACTAAGAGAATGGGGAAGAGTTTGAACTCAAGAAATAGTTGTTGAAGACGAATGCCCTATTACCACAAGGGCAATTTACCACTAATAGCTTTGGTTTTTTTTTTTTTCAACAGTCACGATTAAGGAGGGAGTATTAGAGAATAATAAAATAGAGAGGTATGAGAATAAGTTATTTTCTAAGTTATCCTTAACATTCATTAAGTAAAAAACAAGTTATAGGCCAACCCAAAGGAAAGCAAAATATCCAAAACATATTTGGGAAATTCAGATACATAAAAGCCCATCCCAATAAGCAAACAAACAAACATTAAAACCCGATTCCCTATATTCCAAACGCAAAAAGTAATCGTCGCAGATGCCGCCGTTGGTGTGACGAAAGTCTTGCTAGTAGCCACCAAAGCAACAACACTAGATAAAACGACCGAGTGGTCAATTCGACAAAGACATCATAACAGAAAACTTACAAACCCACAACCAAAAGTACATCACAACCAAATTTCGTCACCAAAAACTTAAAACCAAGAAATAGTCATTGAATCCAAATCCCCTTAACTAACCCCTGCATATATATACAAATGTAGTAACACATGGATAGAAGGTGATACTAAAGGGGTATGTAAAATACATTTACTTGGCCTAAAACTGCAAAACACTTAGCCTCGAGGGGATACCGGCATGCTGGTCGGGGAGGGGATGTAAGCAAGGGAGATGGATCTAGCATCCATTTTTTATTTGGAGCTCGCATGTCGGAGCATAGGATAGGGTAGGGGTGCATTATGAGGAAGGGAGGTAGAAGGAAAAGGTGGGAGAAGATGGAGGCTTAGGTTTCAGCGAGAGAGAGCGCGAGAAGAGGTACTTGTGTGTAGCAGATTAACAATTGCATGAGTGTACATCTACTTTCCCCTTTTCACATCATTCTTTGCTTTTTCTCTCCTGTTTTTTTTTCCTTCGTCAACCTGTGGTGTTAGTTGTAAAACTATATGTATATCTACATTTTTCTCAGCGTGTTTGGCCGATTTTATCAGTACACGTTACAATTTATATGTCTCAAAGGTCGTACCATGTTTCAGCAATGAGAGGTATAAAGATGCCCATACAAGTCTTTATGTATTTCAGATTATAGTTGCTCTTATAGATGCTCTAAGTGATAGAAGAGTTCATGTAACACATAATGGGTGTAAAAGATAGAACGGAAAAATAAATAGGACCTGTGGCTAGAATTTTTCTTACATTGTACACCCTTCAAATGTGGATCCACTTGCCAAAGAATTTGAACTAGTGTGACTTCAATTGTTCACATTTAATATTTTAGGGCTCGTTTTAAAGTGTTTTTAAAATAATTCAAAACGCTTTTAGTGAAAATATTTTTGAAATCAATCCTTAATAAAAATCAAAGTGCTCGTTTGGAAAGTGTTTTTAAAATGATTGTAAGTGTTTTTGGAAAAAATATTTTTAGAACCAATTCTTAGTAGAAATTTAAGAAAATCTTGGAAAAGCACTTGGAAGTGCTTTTGGAATCCAAAAATATTCTCTAAAAGTGCTTTTAGTTATTTTAAAAGCAATTCTAAACAAGCTCTAAGTGGATCCTGTAAAAAAACACTTAAAGTACTTCTTACAAAAGCACATAGAAAGATCATTTGGTTTTTTATAATGCCCTTGTAAAGGTCCACATAAGAAATATCATTTGGTTTTTTATTCAGACATATGAAAAAATGCTCCCCATGATTGAACTCTTAATTAAGGTTCTAAAAGGCGTTAGACGCTAGTCGGACGGCAGGCCGAGGTATAGAATAGACGGCTAGACGAGGTCTAAGCAGGGGCCTAGCCCCTAAACGGCTAGACGGGGTCTAAGCAAGAAGCTTAGATGGATTAGGCAGATTTAAATAAATTTATTTGTTTTAAAGACCAAATAACTATTCATTCCACCAAATTAGTGTAGATCTCCTTCATCACCAGTGAAGTATTGAACAGTCAACCTTGACACCCCCTCGTTCACTCCCAACTCGTCGCCCCAAACCCAATCCCCAACCTGAAACTTCATTCCCAGCTCAAGCCTCCACCTCCTGCCACATCAAAAGTCCTATATAATTTGATTCCAACCCCTTTTTGAACCCCGACCTACCCTCTTGACCCAATCTCCTCCTAAACCTGGCATGGCTGAAAAGCTGAGGTACCCAGAATCCAATTCGATAAATTCAAGCTAAAATTGACATATTTCAAATACCAACAACTGAACTTATCTACATTTTAATGAATGTGCCGAGAAAGAGCAGCGGCAATGAAGAATTTGAATTGGGTTTCTGTTTTTGTATTACACAGAAGTAGGGAAAGGATAAAAGGGTTGGTAGCAACTTGAATTTGGTTCAATGTGTTGCAGAGAGAAGAGAGAGAGAGTGGGTGGGGAGAGACACGTAATGATGGAGGAATTGGGGTTGGAGTGGCATGACCTCCCCATCCCACCGATACCCGGGCGCAGATGCAACCTCACCCAAAACCCAATTTTTAGTTAGGGAATTCGCCGTTTCTATACATTGAATGGAGGGAACGAAGAATTAACAACATGGGTAAAATGAATAAGAAGCCGCTCAAGATTTGGAGTCCTGTGCGGCCACCCCCGTTAGTTCTTTCCCACAAAGCTATTGCCATAAACATATGCTTGTGAACTAATTTTGGTGCCGCTCAAGATTTGGAGCCCTGTGCGGCCACCCCGTTTGCCCTGCCACAGGGCTGGCCTTGAATCAATTTCACCAAAAATGCTTTTAGTTAATTTAAAGCTACTTTCAAACAAGCACTTGTTTGATGTCCCAAAAGTTGAAAACTTCAAATTGAATAAGAAGCCGTTAGCATGAATGAAGGCAAAGTATTAAAAAGTCTATGCATTCGATAAGATGCAGAAAGGTGACAGATTAGAATACGTTATAATTTTATTTATAAACATTTACAAGGAAAGCAGACAAGCAAATGAAATTAACACATTCAACCTCTCACTTAGCAAGCTAGAGATTTCAGCCGGGTAGGTAAGTACATTCTACATATTAGATATATATGCTAAGCATTTAAGCACATATACATGTTTATGTCTTGTTCTTCAAGTAAAGTAGTGGTTATAGTTATACTAACATCAGGAACGTTGGGAATTGAATTCCAGGGAACGCGAGTGGCGCGGTTGAACTCTCTTCGTCGAATTCGCGGTCTTCTTCATCCAATTGACAGAGTTAAAATGCAGGAACCAGAGCCGGCACCGATGAGACTTGAGTTCCATCGTAAATGTTGATTTCTTTGCTGTCGTCTTCGTCTTCGTCTTCCTCTGCTTCCCACATGAAGCTAGCGAAGGACCCCAACACCATGCTGCATTAAACATAACATACACAAAACTTTTTTCTTACGCTTAGGAAAAGACGACGCTTCCAAATTGGGCAAAGCTCCGAGCGCTTTATTTCTTAATCTTGTTTACAAGTTTAAAACAAGTGATAGAAAAAATATTAAGCATTACAACAAGCAAATATTCAATTTTTGGTGAATTTAAGTTAAGTACACGTGACACACTTTTAAAGAGTATATTGACATAAATTCATCAAGTTAAACTTATTTTTCTGAAAAATAGTTTATGGAATTAAGTTTGGAAGATAAAATAGTAGTTTGATTTGCAAAATTAGTGGATTATGGGTAAAAGAATTTACGATATAATACTACGTGGAAGTAACGTGACTTAAAAAGTTGAAAATTTGAACAGAATAGTTTAGAGACTTAATATCGAAAAAGAATAACTTAGAGACTTCATCTATGCTCCAGTAATAATTCAGCGACCAAATCGACAATTTACTCGTTCTTTTTCAAGAAAAATTGATAACAAAATCTCTAAACACAATAATTATCAAAAAGTCCCTAAACTTTCTCGTATTTTTCTCACTTCATACCTGCAATTAGTAATACTAAAAACATCAAACTAAATTCCTTGCTTGGGTAGATAATCTCTCGTATATTATCTACCCAAGCAAGAGAGTTTGAAAAAAAAAAAAAAAAAAAAACGCACATACCAATCATCAGGGGAGGCAGAAACAGCCTGATCAAAGTACGATTTAGCCCGCTCCTCATCTCTCTGCGTCTCCCAGATTAGCTTTGCGTAGAGCGACAACAACTCACCGTCTCCCGGACTCCCCAATATCGCCCTACAATAGCATTCCTCCGCCCCCACCGCATCCTTCTCCACCTAATCCAAATCATTCAATCATTTTTATCATCTTTCTTTTCTCATTAATCATAATTAATTTGCAGATCAATTTGATAATTCGATTAATTAATCAATTACCTCGTGCAAGAATTTCCCGTAGTTCCTCAGCAGCAACGGATCGCCGGGGTTTGACTTCAGCATCTCTTGATAATAAGCTCCGATCTTCCTCTGCTCGCCTTCCTCCACCGTTACAGTTTTCCCTCCGCGATCGCCGCCGCCAGGAACCAGCTCCTCCGTCGAAATTCCACTTCCCGCCAATTTTCCGGCGTAACTCGCCGGCAGAGCTCGAAATCCGTCGGGCGCCGATCGGAGAATGTCGCTCTCCGACAGAGCTCTCTGGATCGTCTTATCTCGGCGGCGATTGACGTCGAAATGCAGGGAGATCATGGGAGATCCGACGGTGCTCCTCTCGCCGGAGAAAACGCTCGAGAGCGAGTCGTTCCGGGCTAGGGACACTCTGGGCGAGCCGGAAACGGCCGGTGACTGAAGCGCAATCGAACCGGTTCGGATCATGAGTGCTAATTGAAGCTTTTGCCTACTTTGCAGTGTCTGAGCAAAGTGTGAGACTCTGTAGTTTTGCTCTCTCTCTGCTTTTTGTAGAGAGATCCGTGAAGTGAAGGCGTGTATATATAATTCACTTTGCGCCGTTGGATGCGCTGACGGGGTTGACTCGGGGTGGTACGGGATGATGACACGTGTGGAATTTGCACGTGAGGATGGCTAGTGAGTAGGCCACTCCGATGGGGAAGGCGGGAAGATCGTGAATCAGGTAAGGAACGAAGCGGTGCCAAGCCAAGTGCAGGTTTCACGACAAATCTTTGTGGGTCCCATCCATGTATTCCAAACGTGGAGAGAGGATTCTCTCCGGGATCTCTTCGGATTCCTTTCACCAAGTTCACCAACGCACACCATTCAGATTTTTGAAATTTGATCTAATAACTTTAACCGTTTAATTAAATTTCAAAAACTCAGATTGCGTGCCTTGATGAACCTTTCCTCCAAATGTAATAATAAAATTAGTTAGACGCTTAGAAAATTTATTTTCAACTAATTGTAATATGATTTGGCACTTATAACTTGACAAGCGTCTAAAAAATTAAAACTTGAATTAATAACTTAAACACTCATAAAATTATTGTTGAGTGAGAGCGGAAGCTACTGTTTGTTTTTAAGCAGCTAAATTTTGTTCCAAAAAAAAGCCCCCGATGGTAGTGGGACAGACCGGAGGAACCCTTCCTAGATTGTCCACCTCTGACCGTGTGATGAAAAGTAACTGAGATTTCACGTTACCATTTTTTGGTCGCTCAGAAGTTTTGGCATAAATTCTGTGTTCCCATCCCAGCATATGGTTTTGGCATAATTTCTGTGTTCCCATCCCTGCCCCATGCTGTTGGTTTTTATTAAATAAAGTACAAGGATTTGCCAACACTCACATAGGCTGCAACTTGGATAGAAATATTTGATTCTGACCAGTGAGCCGATAAGTTCTAAAGTATCTTGTCCAATCCAAATTCGAAACCGAAAACCGAAAAAATATGAGAAGAATTGGAAACGAATTGAAATGTATTTGAATATTCCGAATCTCCGAAACTTCTCTAATTCCATTACATCCACTTAATTATGTTTTAAATAGGTTTCCTTGCTATATATTCTACAAAATACTCAAATATATGTAAAATCGGATATTCATATTCGAAACTTTTCAGATGAAGACATATAACTCCCTGAATATATATTATGTAGAGAGAGCGTGGTGATGATATATTATGTAATCTTGATATGGATGAAGCCAAATAACTCCCACAATTGCAAAATTCCGAAATTGAGCCAATCTCGAAAGTTCAAATTCGCCAAGAGTATATTTTGAGATTCTGATTCCAAAATTGTGTGATATTCATATCCAAAACTTTTTGAATTGGGAATTAAAAACATGCATTTCTAATCCTAAAGAGCTAAAAATTAAGAAAACACTCACATTAACGAGTTGTGAACAATTAAAGCGTCATTATATTTAATTTGAGACATGACTATTTTACTATTTTAGCATGTGATTTTCGGACAAGGATTGTCTGCCCTCCTTGTTCCCGTGCCCTCCAGTTTTGTGTAGTCACGGTTAAGTCACGTCTACATTTTATATTATTTTTTTTAAAGATAATAAGACAAAAATGAATAGTAATATAAAATGTTGACGTGACTTAACCGTGACCACACAAACAGGAAAATATGGGAAGACACGGGAAACAAAAAGGGTAGACAATCCTTGTCGTGATTTTCTCCCAAGTTAGCTTAACTTGTTTGGAATGAAACAGAAATAGGGCTACATCCATTGATTCCATTCCATCGATCCCCCCCCTCTGCCCTTGATCCCTCGATTTTGTATGCAGTTGCCGACACAGTGCAACGGTGCGTTTATCCTAACCTAATGTACTTAGGGAAGGTCCCACCTGTCCCCACGTTACCCCACGTTAGGCTCCACGTGGATTTATAGCCCCATGTGATATCAGGTGACAATTTCCTTCATTTCACTTTACGAGAATTTTTTTCAAAGTTTTCAAAAACAAGTCGATATAAATCATGACATATGGGATACCGACTTATGTTTTCGATGGATGGATGGAAAAATCTCTCTCATTTTAGGTCATGATTCATAAAACTTACGTAGTACATGTACAATATTATTGTGAAGTTTCATGTTAACAATAAAAACGTGTAAACTTTTGTTTAAACATATTTTTCTTTTGACACGAGACGTTGCACGACACTATACTAATATCATGTAAGTTCTTGTCTCGTAAAACACTTGTAAAGAATAAGATTCTAACCGCTAGATCAATCATCTAATTATTATTACCTTGTTACTTTTGACACACAGAATAAGACAAATGCACCCCAAGAATTTCGTATATAGCTAGAATAACCTTTACAAATTGCAAATTCTAATTTGTTAAGAATTAATCAAATTGAAGCTATAGCGACACCATTCGTTGGAATCAAAATATCTGCAAGATCCGGGTCCCAATTTGCATCAATTAAACAAATAGTTGAAAGTTCCAAAATAATACACTCTCCAAGAGTATCTAAATCGATAAAGAGAAGAATAGTAGTGTCACTTGTAAAGAAAAGACAAAAGAAAATTGATCGACTTTTTAATGGGTAAATGTCAAATCCCAACATCAACTTAATAAAGTGCGGTTTATCTTATCTCCTAATAAAATATTTCAAGTTGATAAGATAAAGTATGTACCAAGTAACTCTAACGTCGTTTTTATTATGATAGCTTGCTTTGTCGTGATTTTATCGTTTAATAATCATTTCGTTTTTATTTTTTAGTTTTCAGATGAAAAAATGGAGGAGTCGTTTTCACTGACATATTTTCATTTGACATGTTCTTCTTCATTTCTCCCTTCTAGGCTTTCTATCTCTCACCAACTTCTGTCTTACCCTAACAACTAGAAATAAAAGAAATGGTTCAAACCAACAGTTTTCGATTGCTTATCGAATTATTGTTATATTAAGTAACTTCAACAAAATTACGGTTTGGGGTTTAAGGGGTCGTGTTTGGGCCTATTTTTCACACCATATGAACCCGAGAAACACAACCTGTTGTCGGGTGTAAACTTGGTATCAAATTTCTCTAGTTAACGTGCAACTGTCAATTCAGTGTACATACTATGGTCCAATAGTATTTCTCTTTCCTTGTAAGTGAAAAGTCCTACGTTCGATTCTCGCTAGTGGTGAATGTGAACCACATTATTGCTAGACCATTGTGAGGTTTAGCCCACTCCCCCACCTCCTTAGTGTACATCGTTTGTTAAACTATGTGTGCATAATGATTCAAATAATCTGCAGATGTTAGTCTCAAGTGTTTCTTGTGGCACAAATTTGCGAAAACATTGAAAAGGGTACAAAGATCTTGATCCCAAACCACCATCCAAAAAACATCCCACTGGGATGTAATGGTAATACAAAAAAAGGTCCACTATAATACGTTGATTTAATCTTTCGGTGGTAAACCCACGATCGATCTGTAAAACTAACAGCCATACTTGTCCGGCTTCATGCAAATCAGGCCGACGGATAACTCTATGAGTACAAGAATGTACCTGATTGTTTGAAGTATACGAGTGTATTTAGTAACATAGACATTTCTCCTCTGTTTACGTTTCATCCTCCGCATCGAAACCTAAATTTCAAGATAATAGACTACAATTAAGATCAGAAAGACACTAACTTTTGTAAGTGAATGGAACCATCCCTACTACGTAGTCAAATACAAGCGTGAACAAGATTGATTGCAACCTTATATGTCAGCCATCACTTATATCAGCATCCATGTTTGCATGATTGTTAATTTGGCTAGGAGCATGCATTAGCTGCTAGAATTTTGAAGTCGTTACCGACTTGTGACAGCAGGGAAGTTGGCAGATTAAGATAAGCCTCTAATGCAGGGATGCCTAAGCAGGGCCGTTATAAATGCGGTTGGCCAGATGTCAACCAGTTTTCGCAAAAGGAATAACGAATTTCAGTTGTGTGTTAACTACTCCATTCTGCTACAGTTGGTAGCCATGCCACCCTTAAATTGGAAGCTTATCCTCATCTGTTATCTACTTAGCTAATAATGCCCTTAGCTTCACAACAATGCTAATATGGAGTGTGAAGCTGATAACGATAGTACATGTAAGGTTGCTTTAATTGCTCAGATCTCTTTGTATTTAGGATGTCAAAAAAGGACTATCAATAAAACCGTCAATAAAAGTATACGAACCTCCAAAGACCAAGCCTACTGATTCTTCTTTAGCTTGGATGTGGAAGAAGATGATCTGAGATCTTGACTAGAAGTTCTAATAATGAAAATAAATGTCTCCACGAGCATGCCAATGACCAATCCAAGAATGCCTCCAGCAGCATTCTGAGATGAGAAAAATTAGAGCGCCGTCAACTTATATAATACTGTAAATAAAAAAAAGAACATGCAGATAAAATAGGAACCAAACAATAATCACATATTACAATGCCCAAAAACCAAAAAATAGTTTAATAAAATAGAAACTACTCTCTCGAAGATACATACCATGACGGGACTGTGGTTAAACAAAGCTCTGAATGCAGCATATCCTACCAAATAGCAGGTAAACATGGTCACCACAACATGTAAACCTGTACAAGTTTTGACTGTTTTAGCACTGGAGCATCCAAAACATATTTTCAAAGAGAATAAAAATTCTACAGAAAATTTACACAACAAACACAACTAAAAAGGAGAAATTAAAAGATTATCAATCATTCGCTAACAAAGGGATAATAAATATATTTTGTTTTTCTAAACACAACAATAGATGCTTTAAATTAGAAAAATAAACCACTCAACTCTATTCGGAAATAAGAGGAATGAATTTTAAACAGAGATTCAAATATGTAATCAAACTATTTCAATGAATTCTTAACACAAAATGCTTCCCATGAAGCAAATGTTCTAGGCTAGGGAGCCTGTACTGCCTTCCTTTCAGTTCCAGTTTCACCTCAACCAGAAAGAAATCTCTAGTTTTGTGAACTAGTTCCAGTTTCACGGTTCACCCAAACTAGAAAGAAATCTCTAGTTTTGCAAACTAATTCGATTCCAACGTGATTTCATGTACTCTTTACATAAATAATGGTCTACTATCATGTTAATTTAAAATGCAAATGTATCCAATACTCTTATGACTTGGTCCAGAAATTATCAAAGAATACTCCCCCCACCCAATGCTCCTATTACCACCAGCCAGTAATTTCCCCATATATATCCTAGATTCAAATTTCTCAATCAGTCACCAATTTCCTTTCAATATCATCTGCTGGGAATGTAATGGCAAGCATAGAGTGAAAATAAAACAGCAATATGACAAAAAATAACGGTCATAAAATTTCTGGCATTAATACACAGGAAAGAAGAAATTATTTCTTTCGTCATTCAAGTGCTAACACATTAGAGTAATCCCACATAATCAACAAACTGCCATAGAACACCAAACTGCCCAGTCAACAAAACCAGCAAGTACTTTGCACACCCGTACAAATAATTAGAACTTTTGTACAGATCACACATGCCCGAATGCATCCTAGGACTCACCAAAATTTCATTATTCTTTGAAATTCCATATAAGCATTAGATACCTCAGGAGCTAAGTTTTTGAGCAGTTGGAAAATGCATTCATTCAAATGGAAAGTATTCACTGAAACAGAATCTGGTTTCTTTCTTGCTTAACATTTCAAGCTTCACCCTTAACATAGTTCTTTCATGCTTACGTAGGCATCCAAACTAGTTATTAAGACAGAAAATTTGAACATGTGCTGAATGGAAAAAAATATATATTCTATATGCATTCCATGTCGATGGCATGATAAAATCACAAGGTAAAATACTATTATTGGTTGATCTGCTCATGAAAATGGAATCAATATCGTCTCTGATGACCGATGAGCAACATTTACATGCAAAGGAAACCAAAGAGACACCTGATACGTGACATCTCAGAGTTTATCCATTAAACCTTTTAGAATGGATTCACAGTTTTCATTTGAATTACCATGTTTAAGTCCAACCAATCTGACATTGTCAAGCATACCAATCCAACCATTCTACCCCCTCTAAATGTCATGACTCTACACTTTCAGAGAATGAAAAATTGTTTGAAATAAAAAACATCCTTGTATTATATCACAGTTTTGTTCGCATTCCCCTCAAATCCATTCACATAAAAATCAATTTCCATCAATGGACCAAAGCAATAACTACAAATTGAACTCTTCCTGATAAGATCATTGAATTAAAGAAACTTACGCCATTATCACAAAACTGAAAAAGTCCAAGCTCAATGCATTTGCCACAGTAATGTCATTCAGAAACAAGCAATAAAACATTATGTTAGACATGTATAAACTCTTTATCTTACCAAAGCCAAGTTGATCCTTGTAAGAAGAGAAAGGCTCAGTGGTTTCTTTTTTAGGTGTAATATCCTTCACAAGTTCTGCATACGCATTCCTCTCCAAAACTTCAGCCAGCTTCTTAAGTCTAGCCTTCAACTCCTCACTCTAAACACAACAAGAACAATTACATTTCATTTGGAATCTCTGTAAAATACAGGAAAAAATAACAAAGTTCAATTGCAAACCCAACAAAATACAAAGGGGTGATACAGTGTTTTGCGTTTCACCTTTTCTCTGGGTTTGGGGCTGGTGAGGACGAACTCGCATCCGGAGAAGAGTTGGGCCAAGTGCGGTCGGGTCGAGGCATCAGATGCAACCCAAAGAGCTCGGAGAGACTTGTACGGTACAGTGGGTTTGGAGGATAGATTGGAAGCAATTTGCTGGAGTTCATGAGAGAGGTGTGGGTCTGTGGAAGCTGAGGTGAGGAATGAGAGGATGGGTTCGGTGGTCGATACGACCAGTCCAGGTGGGTTCATCGGATCACTGCTCATTTTCCTGTGATTTTATAAAAAGACCATAGGGCTTCAATTTATGACCAACTTTCAAGACAATATTAATAACAATGGTGGATTCTTTTTCTTTTTACTTAATTAAGAATTGGATTGTAAGAACAATAGATTACGCAAATTATCATCAAAGACCCAGGAATTACAAAACACAACTGTCCAAGTGAATAAAAAAAGTAACCAATGAGCAAGAACATGGGAATTACCTCGGCAAGGTGTTATGCAATCGAGCTCAATACTCCAAACCTGCACAAATTCAACTGAAAAGAAAATCAGAAAACAACATTCAATACCAACATTCTATTAACCGGAATACGGGAAAAAGAAAACCAGATTCGACAATGGGGTCGGCGAGGATTTGATTGAAGCAGAGGGAAATGCAACCTCACCGATCCAATTGGTGGTGAAGACTTATCAATCTTGACTTTGGAGGAGGAGGAGGAAGAGGAAGAAAGAGAAGGAAAAGCAGGGCTCTGTAAGTTGTGTTTTCAGGTCTTCCTCGTGAAGACAATGGAGATGGAGAAGGTAAAATTTTCAAGTGGTCTTCGAAGGTCTGCAATTATTCTCTTCAAACTAAATCTGAAACGTTGGTTTCTATAACTAAAGAATCAAAGGCCAAGATTAGCTTTAACCGGGTCATGTTTACATGTGTATCTATCCACATGCAAGAGAGACTGTTTGTTTGAAATGCTTGAGAAACATATTTGATGGGAATTGATTCCCCCATTCCTTTGTTATGTCAGTTATTATAAAGGACTTGAACGGGCTTGCACAGCTAGATCCACCTTGTAAGCTCACTGTAAACCATCAATTTATGGACCTAGGGTTAGCTAAGTTGGTTAGAGCAGCATCTCCGTCTACACTAAACTTGAAGTTCTCTGATCTTAGTTTAGATGAATTTAATGTTGGATATCTATCGTTTGTCACATAAATAAACACACACCATCAATTTGTTTTCCTTTGCTAACTTTTCTTGAACAAACTCACTTCAGCAACCATCAAACACCACAAACTCACACAGCCATGATACTTGGTAAATCAACTATAATCTCTCTTTTCATTCGAACCATGTCTACATATTCCCTTAAAATTTTCAAGGGGAGCAGAACAAAGAACAACTGGTATGATACATAAAAGTAAAATGAAACAAGTTTATAATTTGTATCTTCCAATTGGCTAATCCATGACATACTAAAAGTAAAATTATTTGAATTATAAGGGAGACCCATGCAAGCAAGTATGCCAAGTTTTGTGCCTAACTTAAAAGATATCCACAACTCATAAGCACTAAATCGTTGATGCATTAGCATATTTAATGATTGCGAGGGATATATTCATAGAAACTAACATAAATAGTTATAGAACAGACACTAAATTCCCATCAACACATGAGAATTGAGAAATGATGATTAGTACTTGATCGGTTAAAACTAATTGAATTGAAAATAATAACAAGAGAATGAAAACTGAGCTTTGTAAACATGTAATTGTAGGGCTTGTTATTTACAGTTACGAGCCGATACATGAGAACAAAAAGTTCATACCCATCCGCGAATCTACATGTGAATTTTTAGCAAAAAATTCCAACTCCCCATTCCCTACTTTGGCTAGGTAGAGAGCCCAATAAAACCAAGACTTGATTTTCTGGTAACAAAAAGCACAATACAATAGCAGTAACCTTATAAAGATTCCAAATATTTCAACGTATGAAAAAAAGCTCAATTAATGGTCTCTAAAGATAGCCACTGAGTTTGTTTAGATTCAAATAATGTTCAAAAATGGCCAAGGCAGATACACGGTTGCTACTAGACCCATTTGACAGATAGGAGGAGGAGGAGGCAAACCTCAAGGATGGCCACCATTGAAACAATAACAATCTCACCAAAAACCAAAAAACGAAATCGAAAGAAACGAATTCAGCCAACCAATCAAAATCACACCTTGGAAACTCCAAAAGATGATAAATGTATCAAATTAGATCCGAATTCAACACCCAAATAACCAAATTAAAGAATAATCAATTGGGTACCTGGAAAATGAGAAGATAGACAATATCCAGATGGTAAATAGAACCTTTGTGTGCCGGTTAGACGCGTCTTCAGCCCGCTGTCTCTAGTTGCGTTTCGGCGATCGAGCATAAGATCAAAGAGAGTTGGAGACGGCGATGATGGCAATGAGTAAAGGGAAGGAGATGATGAAGGCGAAGGAGAAGATGAAGCACACATCAAAATTCATTTTCTTTGATAAATTGATTCTTTTGTTAATTGTTCTTCACATTTTCCACGTGGCATATTTTAAATATCCACATCAGCATTTCATTCTTGCTAAATCATTAATTAACGGTCAAATAAACTGATTAATTAATAAATATATAACATTGCAATAAATTCGTAGGTTTGTCTACGAAATGTCTTAATGGGCCACATTATGTATAATTTGGTTTACCAAAGGGGCTTTAGAAAACACTAATTAAGAAGGATTTGTAAATGAATCTTTAGATTATCTCAAAAGAAATGTTAAATTATAAGAGTCAAATTATAATTGATGGTTAATATGGCAATCTGAAGTCTTATGTCAAATTTTTTATTTTTCCAACCGAATTGTCAAATATTATTATATTATTTAAATAGAGCTTGAAATGGTTATAATTATTAAAACAATGTTGAAACAGAATTAGTGGAAAAATGGACCCACCATTAAAATGAATTAAAAATAAATTTGACATTAATGTTGTTGAGCCATATATTTTCACAAAGAAAAATATATTAATAATAAATAAATTGCTTCTACAAGGGAAGAAGCTGTGAAAAACATGGCTTCCTCAACAAAAGAAGACATGCAGTCGGTTATGTAAAAAAAAGGGGGAAAAAATAATAAATAGTAAGAAAATATGTGTTTCTTTGCACAAAAGAAGATGATGTGCTCCCTATTTTTCTGCAACAAAAGGACGTGGAAGACTGCATACAATTGGTGGGAGAAGTTAAGAGAAAGTGGTGGAGAACATGGCCTCTACCTTGCCTCATGTAAAATTCTAGGGCCTTTCTTGGATGCCTATAAATAGGCACTAGCCGCAGTACACGGGGGAGGAGGAAAGCAAGAGGTACTATGCAGAAATTGAGAGAAAAGAAAAGAAGCAACGAAGTATTGCCGGAAGAGAAGACGAAGTAATTCCATTACTGGCGATTCCGAACCAAGCATTTCAAGGAAGGAGAGCAAACTACAAGCAACAATCAGAAGGTATAAAAGCTATGTTTCTTTTCTCTTCATTTTCTCTCCAGTAAATTAATTTTGCAGGCAAGCGTTGTATTAAGTCCTTCATCTTTCCCACCACAACCTAACTCCTTGTCACTGTCGTTAGTTCCTTGAATTTCTTTGGGGTGGTCTAAACTACTTTGTGAAGTTCCAATCAAATCTATGTGATCCATGCTCACCGTCCATGCCAAGAAAGAAAGGAGCAGTTGGTGTCACTCCCTGCCGAGTCGTCTCTGTAATGAAATTTTAAGTGGTCTAGAACACTCGACAAAGTTTGGGATGAGGTTCCACGGCCACATGCTCTATGCTCCCTACCATCGTCATCGGCTCTAAGAATTTCCATGAGAGTGGTCGATGCTCTCCATTGTCCATGCTCCGTCCTAAGAAAGAAGACGCGTGCAGTCCTCCGTCTTCACCACAACCAAACTCCCACAAATAGCACGAGTTTGAAGGAAGCAAAAGTTGAAAGCAGCGAGTCCCTCAATTTTCTTCCGCTGCAAAGTGATTAGCGTCACAATTTTCTGGTGCCCAGAGAACTACTGCTGCGAGTTTTTTTTTTTTTAAACCACAACATAAGAGTCCTTGTGCCTTTCTCTCTCAAGTTCACACATGGTGGAAAAAGGCATCTCAAAGACTTAGTTTTTTTTAAAGAAACAAGTTGTTGAGCTGCCATATTTTAATTCCACTATTTCTTATAAGTCTGTTTGATGCTAGAGAAAAAAATATATAAAATAGAGAAAGGAAAAGGCTACAGCAAGAGAGGGAAACAAAAACTCCTCCAAAACTTTCCACTCACTTGAGCATTATGAGCATGGCCTCATGGATTAAATTTTGGGCATAAAACAAAGAACATGTAAACGGCACTGTGCTTCAAAGAATTGACCAGAAAGGAGGAAGAAGTCTTTCAAATGACTTAAATGTGGTTATCTTTTTGATCAAATATTGGGTAAAAAATATTAACCAAAAGCATTAAAATCAAACTGACAGATGCTACAAGACAAAAGGAAAGAAGGGAAATTTGCCACACCTTTAAATAAATAGCTAAAAAATATTTGTTTCTCTGCCAACAATAGCAAAAGGACCATTGCCTCTGCCACCAACAACAGCTATGCAAGGACGCTGCTCGGAGATGTGCAACAACTATACTTGACTAAATGACAAACGTAGCAAAAATATGGCTTCGAGATCAACCTCACTTGTAGGAAAACCAGCAGGCATTAATCTAATGTTCTCGTGTACAAAATTAACATGGGATACAAGAGTTCCACCCAAAGCCTTTTGTGCCAGGAATTTGAAAGATAAGGAAAAAATGGAGATTGCAAAGTCTGCAAAGGAAAGCTACGGTAGAGAAGAAGAGAAAGAAATTTGTCTTCTAAACCATGCACATGGTCACTTAAAAAAAATGGGCAGTTGTCTTCCATGCAAATTCAAAATAAATAGAAAGGTAAAATATGGTTTTCCTCTCCAAACACCACCACTTGAAGCCCTATTTGGGACTTAGAAAATTAGAAGTCTTCAAATAGAAGAAAGAAGCTTGCTGCAAAACAAAATCTATCTAAGTTAAATGGGAATGTTGCCCACCTAGATAACAAATTCATATGGGATTTGTAAATGTAGACCCTATGAATTAGAGTCGAGGACAAGCACCAAATGGCAGGAGCCTAATAGCGTGATGGAGACATATTGAGTCCACCCAATCCAAAATAAGGGATTATGGAGATAACATCGATGACACCAAATTCGTGGATGTAAATTACCCCAAATACCGTGGATGTGAACCATCTCAAAGTACAAAACTCGATGGACTCACCACCTCAAATTGGTGAAACTCATGCTATGTATCAAATACCAAATGGCATGAAGCCGTATCAAATCCCAAATGGCACAAAGCCTTTACAAATGGTACAAAGCCACTTCAAATTCAAATGGCACAAAGCCGCGATAAGTCTCAAATGGCACGAAGCCAAAGGAAAATCTCAAATGGCATGAAGTTGTATTAAGTCTCAAATGACACAAAGCTGTGTACTACTCCAATGGCTCAAAGTCCTCGCCTGCACGAGCTAAAACTGCACAAGGCATCAAATCCTTGCTCCAATGACTCAAAATCCTCGCCCGCACGAGCTAAAACTGCACAAGGCATCAAAATGCACGCTTCAATGGCACAAAGTCCTTGCCCGCACAAGCTGAAACTGCATAAGGCACCAATAGCTCCAATGGCTCAAAGTCCTCGCCCACACGAGCTAAAACTGCATAAGGCATCAAAAGCTTCAATGGCTCAAAATCCTTGCCCAAACGAGCTAAAACTGCACAAGGCATCAAATGCTCATTCCCTGCACGAATTGAAACTGCACAAGGCATCAAACCCCAACAAATACAAAATGAACTATGAGTAACTTGATCCCTCAAGAGGGTACGTAGGCAATCTAGGGCTCGACCAAGGTGCAGTCGCAAAATCAAAGTTACGATATATTCATGTTGGAATCAAAGGGTTTTTCCCTTGTAACGAAGGATTGTAATTAATAGACGCATAGTATAAAATAGGTCGAACTCAAATTAATAAAACCCTATTCGGAAAAATGAATGAGGGTGAAATTGTGTCAAGTGAATTTTTTGTTTACATATTATGTACAATTTTTGATCAACAAATGTCAAATTCGACTCCAAACCACAAAGCCTTCAAATTCAGTAACCGATTGGAGAGACTTCTGATGTCAAATATACACAATGGCATTCCACCTAGGATTTTGGCATCTCCAAGGAGATGCTCTTACAAAGAGTCATTTGCAAAATCTGATTTACGTGAGTCTTGTATACGCCTCTATAGGACTCATGTGGCACGTTCCTAATACGTCTTATCTAAACCTTTGTAATATATTCCTAACTAACTTGGTCATCAATTAACGGTCAAATAAATTGATTAACTAATAGATATATGACATTGCAATAAATTTGTGAGTTTGTCTATGACATTGTAATGTTTTAATAGGCCACGTTATGTCCAATTTAATGGTTCACCAAACGGGCTTTAGAAAACACTATTAAGAAATATTTGTAAATGACTCCTTACATGTAATCAGTTGTAAATATGATTCACATGAATCTTGTATATGCCTTTATAGGACTCATGTGGTACATCCCTAATACGTCATGTCTAAACCTTTGTAGTATATTCCTAACTAACTTGGTCTCAATCCATTGGGATTTGAAAGTTCCTAGAAAGGGTTTAACATTGTTTGTACCACACTTTACCAATCGAAACTAACAAGCATCAGTCAACTTTATACCTTCAAAGCCCATTGAAAGGATTCGTGTTGAGGCACTCTTGCTAAAGGACAAGAGTTTCTCTCCAACCAGGAGACCAATCATAATGTGACATGTGTCAACATCAAAATAAAGCTCCTAGAGTCCCACATTGACCACGGACGAAAGCATGCAACTCTCCTCAACTATAAAAGGACACCATTCTTCTACAATTATTCCCTAACGCCATTATTGTAGTACCCATTATTAGAACCTACTAATAATGATTATGCTTAGACCATTTTACTACGTAAACTCTACATTACTAATGAGAACTTCTCTACCCTCATCGATGTAGTCCAACTTAGAGTGAACCATGTATAGTTTGTGTTTGTTTCCCTATCTCTATCTCTTACATATTACCCTCACTAAGTGACCAGAGTAACCTTGCGAAGGTCATAACTTGACATGTTGATGCAC